GTGCCTTTTTCTTCCAGGGCATCTCACTGACCCACTTCTTAAAGGTGTACTTTGGGGCTCTGCTCCTCCCAGGTCCAGAGACAGATGCACCTTCTTATGCAGTGCCAGCCTTGTCCCTGAAACATGATGGTGAAGGTTGGAGTGAACAAATCTGGTCACACTGGGTGCCTGGACTTCATGTTTGCCTTCAACTCTGGCAATGTGGATGCTGTTGCTATCAGTGATCTCTGAGCTCAACTACATGCATTCCAATTTATTCCATGGCACTTTCCAGAGCACAGTCAAGGCTGGGATGGGAAAGCTGTCATTGATATGAAGGCCACCACCACCTTAGAGGAGTGTAATCTACTAACACCAATAGACACATGCTGCTGCCGAGGGTCCAGTGGCATCTTCATTACTGTGGAGAAGGCTGGAGCCCACTTAAAGGATGGAGCTGAAAAGACCGTCATCTCTGCTGATGCCTCACGTCTGTGATGGGCGTCAACCCTGATATGGATGAATAACTCACTCAAGATGGTCAGTAATGTTTCCTTAGGACACCGCCCCTCCTGGCCAAGGTCATTCATGACAACTTTGGTATTACTGAGGGACTCTGGACCACTGTCTATGCCATCATTGCCACCCAGAAGACTATGACCCCTATGGGAAACTATGATGCGGCAGGGATTTGCCCAGAACATCTCTGCATCTACTGGCTCCACCCAGGCTTTGAGAAAGATCCCCAGAGTTGAATAGGAAGCCCAGAGTCCTGCTTCCAATGTGTCCACGGTAGATCTGACTTGACATCTGAAGGAAGCTAACAAATATGACACCAAGAAGGTAGTGAAGACATTAGAGGGAGCCCTAAAGCACATCTATTCTGGGCTATAATGATGACCAGGCTGTCTCCTGTGACTTTAATATCAACACCCTTTCTTTCATCTTTGATGATGGGGCTTACACTGGTCTCAACAACCACTATGCCAAGCTCATTTGCCGCCATGACTCTGAATCTGATGGACCTCATAGTCCACATGCTCTCTGAGGGGTCAGGAATCCTCAACTATTCACCCAGCAAGAACAAGAGGAAAGAAGATACTGTGGAGTCCCTGCCCTAACTATGTCCAACATTCTGAGCATCTCTCCTCACAGTGCTTACCTTAGATGCCCTCAAAAGAAACAGAAGGCTCAGATGCAAACCATCATCAAAGTTCAATGAAACTCCCAAATAAATTAAATAAAGTAAGTTTTGGTTTGGGGACTAACAAGATGGCACAGTAGGTAAAGGTACTTGTCACCAAGTCTGGTAATCTGGGTTTATCCCTGGAACCTACATTGTGGAAGAACTGATACCTGCATATTGTCCTCCAACCTCCACATGCACAGTAGGGCACAGGTGTACCCACACATGAGCACATGTGCGCTTGCACACACATGCACAAAATAAATAAAAGTAAAAAAAGTAGCTGGGTGGTGAGGACACAGATCACCACCCAGCACTTGTTAGGCAGAGTGAGACAAATTTCTGAGGTGTAGGCCAGGCTGGTCTACAGAGTAAGTTCCAGGTTGGACAGGGTGGTTTCATTAACTTAAAAAAGCAATAATATTGTTCTAAGAATATTTTAAAAGAATATTTAAGAAAGAATAATTTTCTGAAACTTATTTTTAATTATTTGCCCTATACTTTTGTCTTTTTTAAAAATTAAGTACTTAAAAATTTCAGATTCTATTTTCGACTCAACAAGTAAACATCATCACTTACCTTAATACAAATACCACAACCAATACAAAGAGTTTCAGAAATCCATGCTATTTTGCTCTGGGGTGTAACCTCTATGCATAATTTTCCTGGCAAAGAAAAACAATTTCCTTTTATCTATGAGAATACTTTTAAGATTGCTAGTCAGAAAATGCTGTTTCCAAAGTCTCACATAAATGTTTCAATGACAATGACCTAAGTATTTAGTGATATATTCTGAATTAAATAGCTGGGTTTATGAAATATGTATTTTTATCAGGCAATAAACAAATGGCCAATATATTTTGCTTATCTAACACCAGCAAAAATATGGTAAACCTTGAAACATTATGTTTAAGCTTACTAACTTCAATTTATTTTTGGTGCTTTGGATGCAATCCCAGAGTTCATAAAAGAAAGCACGTCTTAGAAAGGTACACCATAAACAGGAATAAAGTATTTTGGCTAGGTAAACAAAACTATAAAAAGCTATGCAGTTTTATAGTACACATGCAAAATTAAGCAGTTTCTGAAAAACACAGGAGTCACTGACAGATTACATTTAAAGTCTCTCTTCTGATCTGGTAAGCCTGGAGGCCGCTGCTTACTATAATACCAAAGACCACCACCAGCTTGTCACCTCCCAATTACTAGATTTACTTAATCCTGAAAATCCAGCAATACGACAAAATCACTGTCATTAAGCTTAAGTTTATTTTTTGGTTTCAAGATGAAAATATCTAATGTAAAAATCTGGCAATCCTTTCCCTGTGACTTAATTTCAGAATTTTGTAGAAAGCCAGGATTGCAGTTAACTCTTGGGTTGACTTTACATTTAGTGAATGTCTTAACAATGACATTCTATAATTTCTTTTAAAACGACCATTTAGTCACAAAGCAGTAGGTTTAGAATTCTAAATTTCTCACCTTTGTAGTTCAAAGAAACTACCAGTGTCTGCTAGCTGGGTGCGGTGGTGCACACTGTAATTCCAGCACTCTGGGAGGCAGAGGCAGGCAGATCTCTGAGTTTGAGGACAGGTTGGTCTACAAAGCAAGTCCAGGACAGCTAAGGCTACACAGAGAAACCCTGTCTTGAAGAAAAAAAGAACCTAAGTTTCTGTTCAAACCCCTACAAAACTTTCCCACCCGTCTGCTTTTTTCCACAGCCGCTTTCTATCCTTACACGGCCAATAGATCCACTTACCCATTCGAACCACAGGGCAACTCTTTTTGCACTCCTGTCGACATTTCTTAGGTTTGCATTTGTCATGGTTGACAATAGCAATTCTCGTTAATTTGTCTGCCATAATTGTAACAAAGAATATCCAGCTCTTCTATTAAAGAAAAATAAACAAAATTATAGAAAATTCTATATAATATAAAGAGAAATAATTTATGGGCATAAAGGGAGGACACAATCATGAAGTTTCTATGTTCATTTAAAAATTAAAAAAAAAATAGGAACAGCAAAATAATCTATTCAGTTGAGAAAACAAAATTTTAAACAATGAAAATAGAAAAATAGGTGCCACTTAAAATACCACAAAAATACTTAGAAAACTACTTAATATATATACATGAGAAAATACTCAATAACACTAACTCACAAAAGACCCAACCAAATACAATATAACCGTTTTTATAATAAAATAGTTCATATTTAAAAATTTAATCCTTCTGAAATTTAAGTATACGTAAATTTCATCTCTTAGTAAAAATAAGCCATATAAACCAAAGCTAAAAGTTCTTTTGGGAAAAACATAAGGAAAATTAAACAGCAAGTATGAAAAACTTACATATGACAGATTAAAAAATTAGATAAAGTGTCAATAATTAATACTGATACCACTGTATAAATATAAACCTATAAGACAGACTATGTATGAGAACACACACACACTTTTTAAAGGTTTTTCTGTTTTAAATTATTTTACAATTAAGAGTAATTCATAACTGTTACACAGTAAACTACTTATTTGTTCAACTTGCATAGTATTTCCAAGAATTAGAAAAAAAGGAGGTCCCTTCTTTCCAACATGAAGAACTTGAACAGAAAAACCTGAAGAGGAAGATTTTATCAAAAAACATTTGGGGATACAAAAAGACAAAGGATAAGTACTTTCATCATACAAGATCACTGGTTACAACACAAATAATACTATCCTGACTCCCTAGTTAGTAGTGCCTCGGAAGAAAGGGTAAATCAATAAAAGCTGTTTTGACAGTTACTCCTTAGTTGCCAATTTTACCATCAAAAACGAGAAAATATTTATGTAGCTCATGGAGTTTAGAAATTAAGCTTTGGCCATCATTCACCTGTAGCAAAGACTACATGCCTAAAATGTAGTAAGCCTAGAAAGGCTACCTAAAGATATTTTGAGTAAAGACACCATCCCTGATGTCAAGAAGCTTAAGATGTAATAAACGAAAAAACAGACTGAGTCACTAATGGGAAGAGGACGGAGTGCTACCAAGTGCCTCTCCAGAGCCCTAAAGACAGACATTCAATTCGGAAATTCTCTCGGTCTAACTCCAGTCCCAACTGAGTACACGTCGCTCCACCAGGGAAGCAGAATGCCGTTTGCCCATCATTTCTATGAAGCCGGGGAGGGGACCAGCAGTGCTGGACTTCACGGCGGCCAGATGCCACGACTCTCTCCACATCTTCCGAGGTCCCACAACCAGGGGCCACGCAGCCATCTGCCTGGGAGGAGGCCAGGGGGCTCCGCGGGGTGCGGCGAGCGTCTTCCTCCGCCGTAAAGCTCCGGGCGGAGCGGGGGAGGGGATGTGTGAGGGGCAGCGGCGGGTCGTCCTCCGAGCGACGGCCTCTGGGGCCTCCCCGCGGCAGCTGGCAGGGTTTGGGGTGGAGAAGCCTCGGGGCGGGGACGCCGACCCGACGCGCGAGGAGCGCTCCGGCATCCCAGAGGGGCACTGGAGCGGTTGCCACGCGCTACGGCGCCCGCTCGTGAGGCCTAACCACGGGCGCTCGGAGAGCTCCCCTAACAGTCTCCCCAAGCTGGCCGCCGGCCGCCAAGCCCACCCCGCGGACGCACGTACCTGGAGACGACGGTCCCCTCACGGCGGGGCGTGCAGCAGCCCAGGCAGCGCCACGCGAAGTCTCAGCACGAAGCGTGTTCTTACCGCCACCGGCCAAGATGGCGGTGCACAGCCGCCGCCTCGCGCACGGCATGAGGGCGTAGTGCGCATGCGCGACAGAGCGCGGCGTCGGCGCTCCAGGGGCGGTGATGACGCGACCGACGTCATTGTGGTGCGACGCCAACTAAGGGAGCCTGGAACCGCTGAGCCGCAGTGGGAGTGGCGCGGACCTGCAGCAGGCCCTGAGAACCGTAATTTTGGCCGACCAGGTGCCTGTGAGCGCCTCTCTTCCTCGATTTAGAGAACAGTCTTAGCGGGCGCAGAGGAGTCCTCTTCCTAGGCCCGGTGGCGGTAAGCTTGCTGTCTCCTCAGGCCTGGTGAGCCTGGGCTGGAGTCTTGGCTGATCTGGTGAGTCTGGTCCTTAGCTCCTTCAGTATTATTCCTCAAAGCTGGGAATCCATTCCTGTTAGCTTTTATTTTATCCACTGGCTGTTTTTGAACTCTGTTTCAAGGTCGAGATCAGACATTGCCCTCCCCGCCCGCGTCCCCTCCCTACCCTCGCCCCCTGACCTCCCTGGGCAGGTCATTCAGGCTTTAACAGAATTTATAATGTCTCTGTGATTACTTAATTATTGTTTGTGTGGCACTTATAAGGATATCTTGGAATCCAAAGGGACGTGTCAAGGAGATAGTCTATAGTTCTATTGGTCTTGCTTAGAATTTGCAATAATGTAGAGTATCCGTAAAGGTTACCGAAGCAATTTAAAATGTTCTTGACTCTCCAAGAAGTTTCTTCATAGGTTTGCTAGAATTAACAAAAGGTATGAAAGATGAAGGGAATATGAGTGATTATTTTGCCATTGAAATTTTATTTATCTTTTGATGATTTTTTTTTTTTTTTTGAGAAAGGGTCTCTGTATGTAGTCCTGGAGCTCACTGTGTAGACCAGGTTGCCCTTGAACTCAGGTCCTTCTGCCTCCTGAGTACTAGGATTAAAGGTATGTGCCACAACATGGGCTGCTGAAATTTTTGTTTTACATTTTGCAGAAAAATGGTCAGACTATGGTGTACTGTATATTGCTTATTTCTCCACAGAATAACTTAAAAATGACTACGCCAAACAAGACACCTCCTGGTGCTGACCCTAAGCAGCTGGAGAGGACTGCAACAGTAAGGGAAATTGGATCTCAAGCCGTTTGGTCACTTTCTTCATGCAAACCAGGTGAGCAGGTAGCACCCCCTGAGGCTGAGATGATCATTACTTAAAATTTCTTTCCTTTTCTTTACCTTTTCTCCTCTCCTCTCCTCTCCTTTCTCCTTCCCCTTCTCCTTCTCCCCTCCTCTCCCCTCCCGTTTTGTTTTGTTTTGTTTTATTTTTTTGAGACAGGGTTTCTCTGTATATCCCTGGGTATCCTGGAACTTACTTTGTAGATCAGGCTGCCCTCAAACTCAGAGCCTCTGCCTCCCTAGTGCGGGATTAAAAGCTGCCCTACTTATCATTTTCTTATGCACTGTACTACTTTCAGGGTTCTTTTTGTGTAGATACTTCAATTCTAATGAACTGGGCTTTCATTTCATATTTTATTCAACTATTACTAATATCAATAAGATTTTTAGTATTAATTAGATTTAACTTTTTCATAAGATCCTCTTTTTATCTCGGCTATTATGTCATTATTTAATTCACATTTTATGCTGCTGGTCTTCCTGGAAGCATCTAAGATTTTCTTTATTTTTTTTTTTGGTTAGGATGTACAAGATAGGTTATATGTGTCTCTTTTCCATTTCTGTAACCTATAATTTGATATCACTTTTCTTTTTTGTGATTTTAAGATTAGTGTAAAATTATTTTCAAAGCAGCGACTAAAGTGTTAAGATGGCAAATTTTGAGGGTACAATGCTTTTAGTATAATACTTTGAGTATAATGCAGGGGAACCTGAAAAGCAAAATGTACTTACGGCTATAAAAGTCCAGACTATGTGAAGTGCTGCAGTCGTAATGGCTGCTCGAAAATATCAGTGTCGCAGTAGCAGCAAGGCAGGTGTGACGCTGGCTGAGTACATACTAACTTCGTTAGGTCATGCCTGCAACCTGAGCACAGGTTAAGCTGCTTTTCAACTTCGCTGCCCTGTTCACTTTTTTAAAAATATTTTTCAAGATTATTATTTAAAACAATTTTAAAATCTAAATATATTTTGAACATATTGTTTATCTCCCCCAAGTCCTTCCAGATCCTCTCCTCTTCCCTACTAACCCAACTTAGATTCTTTCTCAAAAAACAAGCAAAAAACCAACACAACAAACCATGAAAACAAAATAAAAACACACCTAAAGTAAACACCCCTCCCCAAACTGTAACCAAGAAAAAGCACACAAAAAACAGTGGAGTCCATTTTACATTGGTGAACAACTCCTAAGCATGTGGTTTATCCTAGAGTTGTTGATAACATAGTGTCACTCTGTTAGAGAAAACTGATTTTCCTTCCCCTAGTAGGTATAAGTGACAGTTCAGTTGTTAACCTTTACCTAGTGGCTAGGTTTTCATTCATTCATGCATTCTTTCATTCATTCATTCATTCATTCATTCATTCATTCAAAAAATATAACAATATAGTAAGATAAAACAAGAACTATCACACTGGAAGTTGGACAAGGCAAACCAACAATAGGAAAAGAGCCCACGAGAAGGCACAAGAACCAGAGACCCACTTGTTCACATACTCAGGAACCCCATAAAAGCACTAAACTGGAAGCCATAATGTGAACATAGAGGACTTGATGCAGACCTGTGCAAGCCCTGTGCATACTGCTTTAGTCTCTCTGAGTTCAGATGAGCCTTACTCATGTTGATTTAGAAGGCCTTGTTTCTTGGTGTCCTCCATCACCTCTGGCTCTTCATGCTCTTTCTGCGTCCTCTTCCATGGGGTTCTCTGAGGAGAGGGATTTTATGGGGACATCCCATTTAAGGCTGAGTGTTCCAAGGTCTCTCACTCTTTGCATAATGTCTGACTATAAGTCTTTGTGTTTGTTCCCATGTATTGCAGGAGAAAGCCTCTCTGATGATGGTGAAGCAAGGCAATGATCTATGAGTATGACATAATGTCATTAGGAATAATTTTATCACTAGAATTTTTCCTTTTTTTAGACCAGTATTATTTGGCTTTACCCTCAGCCCTAAGCTGTCTGGTCTCAGGTTCTTGGTCATCCAGGCAGTGTCATGTATAGTTTCTGCCTTAAGTCTGATCAGTTATTGCTTGGTTACTCTTACAAGCTTTGTGCTATCACTGCCCTAGCATAGCTTCAGGTAATGTACACCTCTGTAGGTAAAGGGATTGCTGCTGGCTTGGTGTTTGTTTCTCTTTTGAGGCCATGCTGGACTGGAGGGGTGAAGGCTCTGTGTAGGCACTGGCTTGACATCTCTATCTTCAGTGAGTTGTGTAGATGTTGTCTCAGCAATGGAGCCTCATTTGTCAGTTTGTAGAGAACACCTTGACAGGTATTTTCAGTCTGAAGACTCAAGTTGAGAGAAATTTCTTTATTATAAGGAACCCTAAATTGTAATAAAATTATTTAACTTTAACTTTTTATATAGTTAGAATCTTATAGTTAGTTTTCCAACCAGGTCTGTTCTGTTTCTCCTCATGATTCTCTTTCTTCAGTGAACACTTTATTGCAGTATAATTTCTATACAATAAGACCTCTTCTTACATGTATATTTTTATGAATCTTAATTTATTTTTATTTTTTTAAGATTTATTCGTTATTTATACAGCATTCTGCCTGCATGTGTGCCTGTACACCACATCTCACTATGGATGGTTGTGAGCCACTATGTGGTTGCTGGGAATTGAACTCAGGACCTTTGGAAGAACAGCCAGTGCTTGTAACCTCAGAGCCATCTCTCCAGCCCCTATGAATCTTAATTTATAGTCATGTAAACACCATTATGATAAATTGGAAAGCATTTCCATAAAGCCCAACATGTACTCATGCCATTTGTAGTTGTTCTACTTCCTCTAAGCATCTGCCAGTGCGCCTTCCTTTTCTTTTTCTTTCTTTTTTTTTTTTCCTTTTTCTTTCTGGTTGTTTGAGACGGGGTTTCTCTGTAGCCCTGGAACTTGCTCTGTAGACAAAACTGGCCTTGAACTCACAGAGGCCCCTGCCTTCCTAGTGCTGAGACTAAAGGAATGCACCATCACAGCGCCTGCAGGAAATGTTCTTAACTGCTCATCCACCTCTCTAGCCACAGGACTTTTTGATCCCTAGCACTTAGGTAAAAATCGTGGTGTGGCAGGGGTGCCTGTAGTCCTGGGGCTTGGCAGGCAGAGATGAGAGGATCCCTGGTATTTGCTAGCCAGATAATCTTGCTGAAGTGATGAGCTCTAGGGCTCGTGAGAAACAGTGTCTTATAAAATAATGGAGAGAGTGATTGAGGAGGACACGTGACATTGACCTCTGGCTTCTACACACAATTGTGCAACCCCACCCCCTACTCCACATGCACATGCCCACAGGAACACATGCATGCAGCACAAATGTACACACAAAACAAGTGGGCAGTGATAGGGGAGGGTACCCAGGGTTTCCATAGGCACACATGTATGCACGCAAACAAATGAACACATAACACTTCCATATTACCACATGCATGCACACATACAAAACGAATTTGGATTTTAAGTACAGGGAGAAAGCACATTTAATTGAAATGTAAAAAGTTGTAGGATATAGTTATAGGTGAATTCTTTAACGAAGTCCATATTCTTTGTGTGTGTGTGTATGTCTTTTCTGTCTGTCTCTCTGACAGGGTCTTTTTAGCCTTGGCTGGCCTAGAACTCTATGTAGATCAGGCTGGCCTCTAACTTACAGAGATCTATCTGCCTCTGCCTCCCAGGTTCTGGAATTAAGGGTGTGCACCACCACATCTGACCCCACATATTACCTGTTATTGTCTTCAAAGTCAAGGCACGTGGCTCAGTTACAGTAGCCCCTAATCCAGTGTGAAAGTAATTGTGTTGCTAGGAATACTTACGAAGAAAATGGCATGATACTTTAAATATATATTTTAGTTATTGGTGTCTGCTTCATGGATCCAGACATGCTCTCTTAGTGGGGTGCAGACATCTAGTAGGTAAATCCAGACCTTGTCAGCACCTTAAAACCGCAGCTTGTGTCATTGTATTGAAACAAAATCAGTGTGGACTATGCCCAAATATGAGCATATGCCACTCATGGAGGGCCAGGAGAAAAAAATATATTTGCTAAACAATAACCATAAGCACAAGGCATATTGTTTCTCTTTATCTTGGGATAGTAGTTTTACTTATGGATGATTTTGTTGCCCATACTCTAGCCCCAATCTTTAGTAGTGTCTGTCAATATTTTTGATTATCTTGACTGTGGGAAGAAGGGAGTTGTTGCTTCTGGGCATCAGGTAAGTAAAGGTCAGGATAGCCATCTCACAAGAAAACACTGTTGAGTCCAAAAGATGAGTAGTGTCAAGAATAAGAAATTGGAACTTAGAGAAGTAGCTGTGACATCTTAGTATGCATCATAATGACCCAAAAGACTCATCAAACACAAACTCAGGCTGAACTCTCAGAACTGCTGATATAGCAGCCCTAGACTGATGTTGCTGGTGAAGGGCCATACTGTATGCACCACTGTGCAAGAGAGAGCTGAGCTATGCAGTACTTGCTTCTCTTCCAGACCGTCTGAGTTCAGTTCTCAGCTTCCACGTTTTTCAGCTCACAACACCTGTAATTCTCACTTCAGGGGATCCAATACCTTCCCTGGTCTCTGTAGGCACTCTCATCGACACATACACACATATACACACAAATAAATAAATAAAACCTTAAAAAAAGAGCCATGGAAGACTGCTATGACACGGACATTTCTTTTTTCTCCTCTGCATAATATTCTTAAATGGATACATAATGCCTGTCAAAGCTGTTGAAACAGATCTGCCATTGTTTTAAGTATTGTCTTAGAAACAGAGTTCGTATTAGTTTTGAGGTAAAAGACTTTTGCTTAGTATTTATTTTGCTTATGATTAAATACCATTTTATGAAATTCTTTGTGGTAAGATAGAAATAAAATTGTAAATAGAGGGGAAAAGGCCAACCAAAGTAAAGTAAATAGAAAAAACCTTTATCTCAATGGAACTTTTAACTAAGGGCTCGCTTAAGAATACTGAGATTTAGTTATCCTTATTAGAGATCCGCTTGCCTCTGCCTCCCGAGTGCTGGGGTTAAAGGCGTGTGCCACCACCACCACCTGGCTTCCAAAGGTGCTTTTTAAAAACCAACCACCCAAAGCATTTGTCCTAGTGTAAACTTTTGAGTGTGCAAGGAGATTGAACCCAGGGCCTCCTCACACATGCTGAGTAAGCAGTCTACCAGTAAGCAGCACAGGCAATTAGTGGTTATTTCTTGAGCTGAAATCTAGATTGAAGAATGGAAGAATTCTGGGGAAGTTGCCTGTTCTAACTCTCTTCTATCAAAAAGTGTGGACAAATATGTATGAAAATTTGATGTTTAAATATTCATCATTTTCATGGAAATTTATTGTCATTTTCACTGTTTCTAGGTTTTGGAGTGGATCAATTACGAGATGACAATCTAGAAACTTACTGGCAATCTGATGGCTCTCAGCCTCATTTAGTGAACATCCAATTCAGGTAATACATTTTTTTTACTTTTTTATGTAGTGTAGGTTACAAGTTAGACAAGTAACTCTTTTTTATTTACATAAAATGTAAGAAAACAGAGAAACTAAAATGAAATAATTTAATTGCTTTTAGATTCTTTTAAGTTTTAGAGATAATTTTTTTGGCCATCCAGATTGTAAGCAGCTTCAGTGTCTTCTGTCCTACCCATTATGCATTTTTCTTTCTTGTGTGTGTGCACGCGCGTGCGTGTGTGTGTGCGCGTGCATGTGTAGGTATAGGGCACATGCACACAGTTGAATACATATATAGACTCGAAGCTGATGTTGGATGTCTTTTTCAGCTACTCTGCGTCTTTATTTATTTGAGACAGGGTCTCTAAGTGAACCTGAAGTCATTGTTTCGGCTGAGTTGACTGACCACACCTGTCTCCTTCCTTCCTCCTACCTCATCTCTAAGTTGACTGACTGCTGAGCTTCAGGCTGTGCCTGTCTCCTTCCTCCTACCTCATCTCCAAGGCTAGGTTTACTGCTGTTGCTCTGCATGCCTGGCTTCTCTTTTGTATGTTGCAGGTTCTGAAATGAGGTCCTCATACTTCACCCACCGAGTCTTCTCTTTAGTGCTTTTATACATTTCTGATGATGTTTAAGTAAATAGTTCTGAAATAAAATGATTCAGTTTTAGGAGATATAGTCAGAAAAATATATTTTGTAACATGGTATAATTCCTTAATATATGATCCTTGTAAATTCCTTATGTATGATATCTATGTAACTTCTCATATTTGCACTTAGCTTTTGATTAAAGAGAAATTGAATCTGTAAGTTTAGTTTTAAAATGAGTACTGTTTTTGAGATAGGAAAACACCTATATGTTTGTCTAATGCTCTGGATTTATTGACACTATAAAAACTAGTTAGCCAGATTACCTTGCTACATTATATCCCCTACCATTCTAAAACGTTGCATTTTTAAGTGCTTCCTTCTATTGTTGTAGGGTAGAAATCGAAAACTTCTTTTGATAGTAGGTGTTTAAATCTAGAGGTCCCTCTGGTCTCCATTTCAGTTCTGCCATCAAAGCAGCCAAATACTAGTGCATAAATCACTGAATTTAGTGCCCTCAGTTAAACTGTATTCTACAAAAGCAGGTGTGAGGCAGGAATTTGCTCATATAGTGTACCAACTCCTGTTTTAGGTTGTATAATGTATGCGCAATAGCAGTTTTAACCTCTTTTTTCTTTCTTTTTCCTTTTTTTTTTTGAAATAGGGTTTCTCTGTTTAGCCTGGTTGTCCTGGAACTCACTTTGTAGACTAGGCTGGCTTCAAACTCAGAGATCCTCCTGCCTCTGCCTCCTGAGTGTTGGGATTATAGGTGTGAGCCAACAAGCCTGTGGGCAGGTAACATTTTTAAAGGTTCAGATTCTACCTATTGCTGGGCAGTTAGTGGCACTTGGGCAGGAGGGAGGCAGGCAGATCTCTGTGAGTTTGAGGCCAGCCTGGTCTACAGTGAGTTCCAGGATAGCCAGGGCTACACAGAGAGAGCCTGTCTTAAAACAAAACAACAACAAAACTGGGCTACTTTACCAAATAATTTACCCACTTGAAATATTTACTTTCCTTTTCAGTGAAACCAGATACCTGACAAGAAGCAACTTAAAGGATTTTGTCTCATGGTTTGAGGATACACTCCATTATAGTGCAGGCAGCATAGTGGTGGAAATGGAAGTGGCTATGGTGACAAAAAAGGGAAGCTGATGGTTCATGTTTTAGCAGACAAGGAAGCTGAGACAGGGCAGGACATGGCTCAACTTGTAAATTTCAAGGCTGATTTGTCTTTCAATCCCTGCTAAGTAACTAGGCCCACCTTTCAATAATTGTATTAGCTAGGGACTTGAGCCTGTAAGGCCATTTCCTATTTGACTACTGGGACCATAGGCTCATAGCCATCTCATTATTCAAAGATACAATCAGTCCATCTTTAAAATTCCTACTAGTCCTACAGTTTTCTCACTGTTCAAAATTCCAAGTTCATAATCTCTTCTGAGACTTAAGGGCAGTCTATTAATTGTAAGCCTCTGTAAGATTATCTATCTATCTATCTATCTATCTATCTATCTATCTATCTATCTATC